GTCGGAGAAGGCACCCGAGCAAGCGCAACCTCAGGCGGAGCCAGAGAAGGCCACTGAGAGTGCACCAAGAATGTCTACTCCAGCAGTCGCAGATCCAGTTCCCGAGCATCCTTTCCGATCAGCTAGAGACGCGTTATACGTACCACCGAACACTCGTAACTTCGGTCAAGCCCCAAAGCCAGGAGCACAAGATGCAGCCTATCGCAATGCACCACCAGTCTACCAGCCGGAGCTTGCGACCACAGTTTTCGAACGGTCGATGAAGTCGTCGGCTGTGACACTGTCCATGGAGGAGTTACTATCGATATCGCCAGATGTGCGCAACAAGTATCGCGAAGCGTGCACACCGAAGCGAGTAGTACCTCCTAGTGCGACCGGAATGGCGACGATCTTCGAGAATGCGGAAGATAGCAGCGCTACGATCGGACAGGGAGAGGAGCTCACCTGTCGAGGAGAGCCTTTAGAGGCAACGGGCTCAGTCATTCCCGATCCCTACGATGCCTATTTGAAGCATGTTCATAGTGGAGATGAGCCGGAGCAATTAACGGTCGCAAAAGACTCGCACGCGTTGCGATCGATAGTCGCACTTATCGACAACAAGGAGCGAGTACAGGCGATCCTAGACCCAGGGTGCCAAATTGTCGCGATGTCGGAGGACGTCTGTCTCTCGCTGGGACTCATTTACGATCCAACGATAAAGCTCAACATGCAGTCTGCGAACGGAGAAGTTGACCAGTCACTCGGGCTGGTTCGCAACGTACCTTTCCAAGTCGGAGACATAGTCCTATATTTGCAGATCCATGTCATTCGTGCTGCAGCTTACGACATTCTTCTTGGACGACCTTTCGATGTGCTCACCAAGAGCGTGGTGCGCAACTTCTTCGATGAGAATCAGACCGTTACGATCGTATGTCCCAACACGGGAAGAGTCGCGACGATACCCACGATACCAAGAGGACCACCGCGAGTCAGAGCACAGCATTTCCGATCGAAGGATCCGGGTTTTCACTAACGGAAGATATGAGCACCGAAAGCAGCGGGATGGCGTTAATCATTGATGTAAGCAGCACAAATACCCCTATTATATCAGCCTATTCCCCAGTCGTATCTTCCGATCCCGTTTCCGTTCAGTCAAGCTATTTGCGAGCGTCAGGACAGGTCCTCGACGCAGTATCATCGTTGTACACAGTTACCTCAGATTTCCGACCGACATCTCGTACGTCAACTTCACGACTGCTACAGACGATCCTAGGCCAAGGTTGCGATCACGAGTCAAGCTCGAAAGCAGGTTATGCGGCGACCAAGAAAAAGTACAAACCAGTCGCGCTCAAAACTCGACCAGTGATCGCATCGGTGCCCGAGCAATTCCGAATCGTTCGCCGGATAGTTGGAGACCCGTTGCGACACCTACCCGAGCTTCCAGAGCGGCCAGGGCCATTCTTTCCGACCGGTCGCTATACGAAGGAACGCATGGAGGCATTGGATGTGGCGCACCAACCGGGTTTCTTATGGCCAGAGGAGCGAGCTCTGATGCACGCATTCATGTGTTTGCATAACCAGGCGTTCGCTTGGAGCGATTCCGAGCGAGGAAGATTCAAGTCGGAGTATTTCCCGCCAATCGATTTTCCAGTCGTACCGCATCAGCCTTGGGTTCAGAGGAATATTCCGATTCCTCCTGGGATCTACAAGGAAGTTTGTGCGATTATCAAGAAGAAGCTGGATGCCGGAGTATATGAGCCCTCGAACTCATCATACCGATCGCGATGGTTTTGTGTCGTAAAGAAAGATGGAAAGTCTTTGCGACTCGTCCACAGTCTCGAACCGCTCAATGCAGTTACGATCCAGCATTCGGGAGTTA